TCTTTTGGGGTTGAATAGTCTCGTTGTTGTCATTGAAAATGGCACTGTCGTTACTGAACATTTTCGGAAATTGTTTCTCGCGAAACGGAACTAATTGAGAATTTGTAAATAATTGAATGTGAAGAATGGCACAAACTTTCTATTTTATGTACCTTCTTGTTTGTGCAATGCATTTTATAAGCATGGTATGGTTCGATGTTTGATGTGAAAATTGTGTGCTAAATAAAGAATGGCAATGGGGAAAATGACAGTGAAAATAATCAAAGTGGCGCAATCATTTTCCGTGTATTGCTTTCAAAATAGAATCGAAATAACAGTCATCGAACTTAATCGCTTTTCCTCTTTTTTTCATAAAATGTTCGTTCATGGTGCAATTCATCGACACTGTCGATTTACACATAAGAAAAAGAAGACAAGAGTGAAAAAAAATCACTTTATAACGAGCAAATTCAGTGATTCCATTCGCCGTTTCTATGTTCTTTATGTAAAAATGTGTATATCGTCGCAATTCCATTATATATAATGTGAAAAACAGCAGTTATTGCACAGACGGCGAATTATAACAATGACGACATCAACGTTCGCTCGACATAAGATACAACAACAACAAAAAAGAAACAAACATCCAAAGAAAACAGAAAGCAACAAGAAATATGATGAAAGAATCGGGCGTTTGCATCACATCAAGAACCATTCAAATATAGTGAAACAGCAGAATGTATCAAGAAGCTTGAATCCGATGCTTGGGTCAAAATGTGCAAAAAAAGTGAGACACATCTTCTCGCCATTGTCAGTTAGAATACTAGTAGAGTAATAACAATAATAAATCGTCGTCGTCGTCGTGGTCGTCGGTGTCTATATCTTCATTTGATGCAACAACAAAACGGAATACATAAGAAGTCGCAAATACACCATCGTACCACATACTCAATTCACACACAAAATATAAATCGTCGGCTGTATATTACTGCATTATGTAAAAACCGAAAACGATGTGAGATAGAGAGCGAAAGAGAAAAGAAAGCGAAATCTATTATGTATATTATATGTACAGTTTGACTGCACTGTGATGTACTCAAATACATGCTAGAAACAACGTTCAAATCTGTCCGTCTGGTAAATAACATCACGTTTTGGCCTTGTTGTTATTGTTGCTGCTGCTAACATTCTATACATAGAATTTTATTTATATTCCTATGTACTGAAGCACACGAGCACATATCTCGACGTTGTCGGCATTGTTGTTGTTTTTACGGTCGTTGTATTTTTTGTTTCTGTTTCTCTCTCTCTCTCTCTCTCACTCGCGCGCGCTCTCTTTCACAATCGTTTCTCATATTTAGTAAATAGGTCATCTAATGCTTTTGAATATATAAAGAATTGACAACGAATTAATATATAGGAATTGCTTATTGCTGTTCTGTCTTATGTACAAAATGGCACACAAATAATATGTATAATATGGCCCACATATCTAACAAAGCCGAAAAATATGAGTCATTGATTCGTTCATTGGCTTATTTGGCCATTTACTATGACTAAATGATACACACATCGATTGATTACAAACGTGAAAATAAAAGCAAAAATTCGATATTGAACCATGCGTTTCGATCGTTTTAGATGAAAATGCCTTCGAGCTCTTTATTTTGATATTGTCATTTCATTTTGCAGTTGAACGATTGTGTGTAAATGTTTCATTCAATTTACGTTGGTCAAATATTTCCAAATCGAATGCAAACCATTTCACTAGAACACTCATGCTAGTCCATTTAGTTGAAGTAACAATTTGGTCTTTTGCTTGCATTACAAATGCTTGAAGCATGCCATTTTATCGATTATGATTGTCAGTTGGTGTTATCATACAATATTCACTTTTGTACCGGTATTTATGTGTGCTGTTGTTGCGGTTGTTGATGTTGCTGCTATGGATGCCATTCCACACATTTTAAACGTGTTCTTGAATTTAATCGAGACGAACGTTTATTCATCGCACATCTATGTACAAAATAGCTGATGAGCACTCGACATATTCACAACGTGCACATGCCATGAATTTTACGTTTTTGTCTATGAAGCGAAAATGCGATGAGGAATGTTACATAAACAGTTACGCACATAAGTACACTCATTGTAGAAACAGCTATAGCAACAAAAACACCAGCAATAATAAAGCGTGCGCTTATATGCCGATAATGCCATTGGCATTTCTCGCTGCAAGCATATAATTGCACGAATTGTATACAAAACAGATCGCTCACTCTATTTATAAATATATATGCGATGTCTTTATATACATGCATCATTTATATGTACACAGAAAACAAGCATACACATTTGTTCAAGAAACAAAGTTCGACAGAGAGAGAAAGAGAAAAGTCACGATATTCCCATGCCGTCATAATACATATATTTATCGGAGAGAAGAGAAAAAAAAAGCATTCCATTCAGTAAATGGTGGAATTGGTAATGGTTTCGTAAAACGATTACATTGTTTTCGTTTGAGTGTGCGACATATAAATTCTTTGAGATAAAATGAATAAAATGAGTTCGAGTGTGTTGGCATTCAAATCAATAAATTCAATTATTATGCAAACAAATTAAATGTTATATCAAAGAGCATATAAACATAATTCGTTGGAACAATGACAATAGAGACGAAATGTCATGTCTGATGCAAGTATCAACTCTCGATGACAAATATTCGAAACGATTGAATACAGACTTTATTATTAGCAATGCTCAAATTGATTAGAATATTTGGTCATCCGTACTTGATATCAACAAATTCACTTTGAAGCCGTTATGGTCTAAATGTGTGATTGCGATTATGTACAATTGTGTCGTGTGTTCATTCAACAATACATAATAACTGGCTGGCACACGGGTTAATCAGAAAACAGAAGAGCGATCGAGAGAGTGAGAGAAAGAGAACAAAACACACCGATATGTATAAAATGTGCTCTCGCATTGTGGTTTATTGTGATACATTCCATTTCCTGTGTGTGTACATTGTACATAACACATTACATATATTTTATACTTGGATTTCATTTCGATTTCTGTTTAAGGTCATTTCATTTAATAGAAAGCATGTATACATAAGCCGAACAGAGAAAGAGAAAGAATGAGAGACAGTTACCCAATAAAAAAACGGCTGCAATTCGCATTTAACAGAAGAGAGCGCGAAGAAGAGAATGAATGAATGAATGAATATGAACAACGAAAGAACAAAAAAACATACAAATCGAATTGCAAACACACGCAAGCTAACGCGGCAAACTGAAAGCCTCGACAAAGAAACCATTATGCATCAGATATGAACACGTGCGAATATATTCGAATCGAAACGATGCAATTTGTGTGTGTGTATGTATGTGCGAGCACGAGTTGTTTCTGTTTCTCTTCTCGTTGATGTCGTTCGTCGTCGTCGTCGTAGTTACCTATTTTCTTTTGTGTATTTTTCTTACCATGTTGTCTTTTCCATTTGTGCACAAAATAAATGTTGTTCGTTCTATTGGGTGAAAGGCGTAAGGGAATAAAAACATTAAGTTCGTGAAATGCCAATAAAATCACTTGATTACCCGTTCGACAAAATGAACAGCATCGGAAAAAAATAAAATAAACAACAACAAAAACCGCCTCGAAATAGTCAAATACCAACAACATTTCTGGTCAAATCGAAGTTCAATATTCCGGTTTTTTTCTCTCTCTCTCTTCTTTGCGATACGCGCGCACATTCGCGATTGCATATACACTCAGTTCACATATTATTATTGAAAACATTTAACGATATATCGAACGATCAAGTTCAATTTCCCGACCAACTGACGCAAGAGAGAGAGAGAGAGAGAGAGAGAGAGAGAGAGAGAGAGAGAGAGATAAATAATAATAAGCACATCTACGCAGCGATAATGCTCAGTTTTGAGTGTTTGAAAGAAGAAAAGCATATTAAAGCTTATCTTTTATCGAATCAATTTGGAATTTGTTGACTTTTCTTTCTGTTTATCATTAAAAGGCACTTTATCGATTCATTATATATGTTAACGGTAAAACAAAAAAATACATATATTCGCTTTAGACGCGATGACGTTGACGACTGCATACCGTTTGCTATATTCTCTATCTAACTTATTCGTCTTGAAACGCACCAACTTTTCTTGGATATGGCATCGTTTAAATCTGTTTTGTTTTTTTCTAAATGCCATTGTTGGCTGAACAACATCGAACATATAACATTGCGTCAATAAATTGTCAAACCATTTATGGAATGCCCGTTCATACAGAACATTCTTTTTTTTTTGTTAACCAATAGCATCATTAATTACATATCGATTTCAATAATAGTATCTATCCATTTAATAGACTACAAAACGGCATCCGATACTTACCTGTAAATCGTATATTTAGTTTGAGCGTTTGCGCTTACGCGCGCACGCACACATACGAGATCATATTAGCGAAAAAAATGATTGTTTTTCTTCTCTCTCTCTCTTTTATTTGTGCACTCTCTTAATTTCCCGCCGCGTGTATTACGGTAAAAACAAGTTGGCATTCATGTGTACAAGTACATAGCAATCGTTTTTTTTTTGAGGAAATTCATTATGAAAACAACAACAAAAAGAATTTTTTTCATCGATTCACCGTAAAATAGCATATTGACATAAAAAATAATCATTTGGAATTAATTGTTCGATTGCGCGATGGCTCTATAACTATGAATATAATATATATATGACTTGTTATAAAGTGTTTGATGGCGGGCGATGAAAAGACATTTTTTTCTTCTTCTTCTTTGTGTGTGTGTATTTCAATGGCTCATTTTGCATATATAATTTTTAAATTATCTAAAATCTTGTTGTTATTATACTTGCAAATCGGGTTTTAAATTTTGTTGCTGCCGACGTTTAATTTTTTTCTTTGTTTAAAGCAAATCATTTGAATAAAATACAAAATTGAATACTTGACTAATTCCAAAAAAAATGTTCCTTCTAATCTTTCAGGATTCCATCTTAGTGGCATTGTTTATGAAACAAAAGGTGAGCATTTCTGAATAAATATCATTTTAAATTACCATCTTAGAATTTTTGGTTTCGATGAATAATTATTTATTCGCCTTCTTCTTATTTTTTTCGTTTTCAAATAAATGTATTAGCTATTCACAATCGAATTGCTCCCGATGCGTTAGCAGCCGGCGGAAATGTGGGGCAACCGGCACCAGCACAAATTCAACCACAACAACCAGTTCAACCTCAACCGCCACCGCCTCATCAACAACCGACATTACGATTGCCATCCGTTGATCGAGACACGAATAATGCCGGTACCAATTATCCGGCCGAAGAAAATAAATGCTACAAAGTGTCTGTCAGTTTTGATCGGTTAGTATCAATAGACTCTTTCTATTTTTTTGCTCTGTCTCTTTCTTTCCTCCCATTCTTCTACAATAAATAAATTGAAACTTGTAATCACTAGCCCATATAATTAGCATTTTTAAGAGAGAGAGAGAGAAAGAGAGAAAAAAAAGAAAAAAGAACAAAAACCAATATTTTCTATTTTATGTTCACCTGTTTCCAAATGTGTACCTTGTAGATGTTCTTCACTTTTTTTTGAAAACTCTTAATAGGAGTTTATTGAGTTGAGGCGAACAAAGAAAGAATAAATAAAAACTTCCTATTATTTTCTTTCTTTGGTTGCATCAAAATTGCAAATGTTCATGCGGTTATTATTAACAATATTGATGTTTTCAATTCGTTCACATATATATAATATTGTTGAATAAAGCAATGGCGCCTTTCGATAAGGGTCCTTGAATAACGCCTGACTGGAGTGACCAGCAATCAAATGTATTGCAAATAATTTGGTTTCGTGCTCCCCATTTTGTATCCATAATAATTAATTAACCAGTCAAAATTAAATCGAATTTCGACTTTGATGCAGTGCGCTATTTAAAGTTTCAAGAAGTTTTGGTTTTATTCATTGATGTTGTTATATTATTATTTGTTTTCTTGGAAAACTGTATATATGTATATATCATGTCGTCGATCCATATAAAAAAACAATGAAATGAAATAGCAATACATCAAAAGTTACACTTAATAAACCAAGTTTCGAATACGCTCCACATGTAACAAAATGTTTTTGAAAGGTAATTTTGTTTAAACAAATTCATCTCTGTGAATTCATGTAAAATAGGGAGAATTTTACTGAAAAATTACGCAAAAATTACATATTACCATGTCTGGTGTAGAAGACTATTAACGTTTGTACTCTTGACAAAGGAATTCAATTTCAATTGAACCATTTTTTCTATTAGTTTTCATTTTTTTCTTCTTCGCTTCATTTGAGAAAAGCAAGAAATTTTTTCAATAAATTAAAATTCGAACGAAATGATTTGCTCCAAGAGGAATCAATGAGATAAGTATTTATTTGTGGCAAAGCCGCCATTTTATAATGAATTCAACTCATTGCGAATGTGATTAATTACAATTTGAATTTAATTTCAATGATAAATCTCTGTCTGTCATGACAAATCGTTTCTTTGTAAATATTCAAACGCAGATGAATAATACAATGTTGTGAATAAGTCGATCCAGTGGATATTCTGTCTAAACAAACAAATCGCAATTTATAGGGAATTTCAAGTATTTTCATCGAAAATATATGGGCTGTGTTATTTTCATTTTTTTTTAAATTGAAAAATCTCTCTTTTAAAAAAAATCATCCACCGCGTGGTTTACATTTAAAACTAATAATAAATCGTTGTCCGATCGATATTCATTTCTTCTGCTAAAGGAGGTGAAATCGTGTATTTCGAAGAGAATCGTTATGTAACGCCAATCAAAGGGCATACTCATGTATCTTGAGTGCAATTTTGCGGTAAAAATAAGCGAAGGCCAAAAGACGGCTATAGTTTTTATAATAAAATGTATGTACGTTTCGGCTTTGTTTCTTCGTCTTCAAAGTCGAAATATGCTAAAAAGTACATGTTGTAATTGACGTTTAATTCTAGGTTTAATCACTCATATTTCGAACTAATTACAACTCGTATACTTTGTAATTATACGCGCATTAGGTTACATTTTTTTTTCAATACTGTGTCGAGGGGCGACGCTTTTTTCCCTCAATTCTTATATTGTTGCATTAGTAAATAATAATTAAGATTGTTTCATCTATTTTTTAATGTAATTTACCTCGAATAATATGTGTATGTGAGTGTAGCGTTGCCAATTTCCGAGTCTCTTTTTTTCCAATTTAATTGCATGATAAATATAGATAAATTAAATTACTCACAGAAGCAGAATGAATGAGATAGAAAGAAAACTCCCCCTTCGGTTTTTTTTTTTTCATAAGAAAATGAACGTCAAACGTCTTTCATATTTTGCAAAATCAACATTTTAAGTTTAAAATGATATATCGAGCGATTATTTATTGATTGTTTCATGTGAAGCATTACAAGGCTCATACATATATGTATGATATGAAGGAAATATTCGTCGAAATTGGATTCTGTATCAAATTAAATTCACCCATGTTTCTATTCAATTCTGTTTTCAATGAATAGTTTTAATTAAAGCACTGGAAATTATTTCATTTTCTTTATTTTCAGATGCAAAATTACATCGGTTACATGTAGCTGCGATACTCGTGATATTTTTTGGTGCCATCATGTCGTCGCATTATCACTCTATCGAATACGCAATGCCGAAACGGTTAAACTACGAGTTCCTATTTCTGGTAACGTTTCAACATCATTTTAATTTTTTTTTTTTCATTTTGTTTGGTCGATTTGGCAACCAACAATTTTTTTTTTGTTTCGACGTATATTAACTTTGCTTCACTTTTTCGTGTGTATGCTCCAATTTCAGAAACCCTCCTTCAAATGAATAGACAACAATTGCAAAAATTCGTACAATATCTTATATCAGCACATCACACCGAAGTATTACCGACTGCCCAAAATTTAGCCGATGAAATTCTACAACAAAAATCCGGTAAATATCAACATATAAATATATATTTCCTCTCCGGCAATCCATCCATAAACACAAATAGCTACCCATTTCCACTGCGTAATACATATGAATTTTATATTTTTTTTCATGTCTGTTATTAACGTTATTCGCTTTTTTCCCATCGTTCTTTTTTCGTTCCGCTTTCCGCATTGGTTTCCATAGAAATAAATGCAATTTGTGGAGCACCCGATCCGACAGCCGGTGCCGCTACAGACGATGAACACTCATGGCACTTGGACGAATCACAAGTATGCGAAGCGGTTCGAAGTTACTTAGGTCAAGGCAATAATTATTACAATGGTAACAAACAATTGAATTCATTGTTTGCCAAAGTTCGGGAAATGTTACGAGCCCAAGATTCAAATGGTGCTCGAATGCTTACACTGATTACCGAACAATTTTTAAACGATCCACGTTTGGTGCTGTGGAAAAGTAATGGCACGCCAATGAATGAAAAATGTCGACAACTATGGGATCAATTGGGCATGCTTTGGGTGTGCATTGTATTAAATCCACGCGCCACAAATGCCGAACGTATGCATTGGAAAGCATTGCTAGACAAATGGTCAAAAAATGAAGTATGTCCACAGGAGGATCCCGATTTTCGGCCAAATGGCCGACAGGAAAATGTATGTATAGATTTCATTGATTTTGTTTGTTATTTATTTACCGAATTTGACATGAAATTCATCATGACAATAATTCATATATAAATTTTCTATCATTTCATTTCATTCATTTTGACAGTATCGGGAACGCTCGATGAGAATTCGTGAACGTGATCGAAATCGATTTTTCCGCGAAAATAACATTCGAAATATGATGTACCAACGAAATCAACAACAACAACAGCAACCAAACCGTGACAATTACAATAATAACAACGATGACAACTATGACAGTTCGGAATCGGATTCGGATTCCGATGCCGATATGGATGATAATCAAGTTGATGGCGAAAATGAAGATATGCCAGCAAATAATAATCCATCGAATAACAATGAAGAGGACGTACAACGGCCACGTAATGTTGATATGCTTGAACGTATCGATTATCCAATGGATAATCGTGAAAATGTCGTTAATATTGCCGATGATGCACGTCCCGATGCATTCGATGAAAATAGTCGCGGTAATTATGAGCTACCGATTTTAGGTGAAAGTTCGGGTTGCAATTTAAATTTAGAAATTGTACCACCAACCGTAAACGATGAAAGTTCACGCGAATCAATGGACATGGATTATGAAAATGATAAACCAACGCTAGGTAATATTGTTGTCGAACGTAATCCGCGCATGGAACAGGCCAAGGATCAACAAAATGATTCCGATGAAGAAGCAAATTTCTATGAACAGGATGAATTTTGTAGTTACCTAAGAAATGCCGGCGAAGGCGATGAATTGAAACGATGTAAATGTCGAAAATGCGCCATTAAAAATAGTCCACATGTTGAGTGTAACAATTGCAATGGTAACGATTGTTGTGATGATCTTGGTGTATGCTTTAAGAGTTTAGGCGAACCACAACCAAAAGCAATGTGTCCCGAAAATGATGATGAAGAATTTAACAATCGCAAAGAATTGAGCGCACATAATTTTGGCATAAATAAAAATCTGGATGATAAAAATGCCGACTATAGTGATGACAACGATATGGAGTGTGAAGAACAACCGGTAAAGCTTGAACAAAAATTGGAATGTACATGCTTTGAAGCGAAATTGGATCATGTGAATGGTCATTCATCAAAAATGTGCTTAGAATTACCGAAAGGACCGTGTGAAAAATGTGCCGCAAAAAATGTACCATCATCATCGTCATCGTCGTCGTCGTCATCATCATCATCATCATCATCGTCGGCAATAGCAAAAATGAAGGTGGCGCCAAAACAAGAACCGGAAGAGGAGCAAGAGCAAGAAAAAGCATTGGAAAATGTCGAAGCCGAAAATAAAGCATTAAATGCAAATGTCGATGCAGAAGCATTGAATCCAGAACAAGAAGCATTGAATAATCGTTCAAATGCTGTTGTCAGACACCGTGATAATAACGCTGATCTCGATAATGTTCGGCCAAATAAGCGTGCAAAATTGAATAATGGTTCGGCATCAAGCCGAAATAAAACACCACGCACAATCTTCCACAAGGCATTAGACGCTGTCAATATGACATGGGATAATCAACATTTGAAAAATATTTTAGCTAGCAACACATATACGATAAATAGTTCGAATGCTGTTCAAACGGCCGGTTCCAGTAAACCACTACAAACGGTATTGACAACGGTGAAGGCAAATTTCAATGCAGCCGGTCAACCGTTGTGGCATGAACCGTTGGCAATGTGTGCTGCTCGCGTTGATTCGCTTCGTTCACATGGTCATACCGAAGCTGCACTTCGTTTATCGGTAAGTGTGGTTCGAACAATGAAACAAGTGCAAAAAGATGCCCAAATGATATGGAAACGTTATCAAACGATAGCAAATATTCCATGCAATGATGACATACCGAAAAAATCGAATAATTGTTGTTGTGAATGCAATAAATCATCAACCGGTTCATCATCCGCAGTGTCGTCAGCAAAAAATTCAACAAATACAATGGAACCGTCAACCAGCCGAAATTCACATGGCAATCAGCCAAATCATAGTAATAATAATAGCGGCAACAGCAATAGCCGAAAACGCTCTTATGATAGCACACGCAATAATATGAATGGTGGATATTCGTCGTCGTCATCGTCGTCAATGTCAAATCGTGGATATAAAATGTATCGCTTTGATTATCATTCATCATATCGCTATGGTATGAACAATGATGGTTGCAAACGTTGTTTAGAAGCAAGAGAACGTGTTGGTTACCAAAATTCATTCAACAACGGTTACAATACAAATCGTTTTAATATGAATGGCAACGGAATGCATCCGCCATACTTCCGTAATAATTTTGCACCAATGCACGGAAATATGTTCGATCAACGATTTAATTCAAATCATTTTGGTGGTTCAAATAACTATCATCATCGGTATGGCAACAACTATCCCATGCCAAATGGTAATCATAGCGGTCAGTGTCATTCGGACAATTGTAATTTAATACATCGTCCACAACACCATCAACAAAATCATCATATGCCTGCCAATGATGCACCATATGGAAATGGTGGACATGGTATTTATAATAGTCATTCGCGGCCACATTGCAGTCGTGATTCAATGGAAAATGGCGGCGGTCCAAGTGGTATGCATAATCATCATTTGCACCATGGTAATTTTAATTCAGGACAAAATCGATGCTCACACGATCTCAAATTACGTGAAATGATTAACGCACCCATGCAACCGAGACCAATGCGACATGAATCGGGAAGTGGTAGCAGTAGTAATTGTCGTAGCTGCGATAACAATAAAAAAACTGACGAACAACAACCATCAACCAGTGGCATGGCCAATGCCAGTGGAAGCAGTAGCAACGGCAACGGTAGCGGCGGCAGCAGCAGTAATAATAGCGGATCTGCTTCAACTTCAAATCCAACTCCAAGCGGTTCAAACTCCGTACCAATCAATAATAATGAAAATCAGGTGAAAAATATGCCAATGAATAACGGTGAAATGACACCACATCATGCATGCTCATCACAACATTCAACAACAAAAAATCAATGCTGTGCCAGAAATTATTGCTGCAATATTACCAATGAAAATAAGCCCAAATGCTGTCGCAACGAAATGCATCACATGAGGTGAGTTTTATTCAATTAATTCAAATGTTATGTTATTTATAATGAAAAAATAAATAAATAATGTTTTTTCTTACAGCCATCATCCATGCCATTGTTCAAATTCACAAAATCATTCGAATGCTGGCCCATCTTATTCGCACGCCCATTTGAATCGTTCATCGAATAATATTTATTTTGGTCGTAATATTAGCTTCGAACATATTCATACAATGAATCGATGTCTGCAAAAGCAACGCGAAGAGTATTCATGCAATTGTTGTCGATCGGCTCAACCGTCAACATCGTCACATCAGCATCAATTTCAATCGGTTGCATCAAGTTCATCAAGTAGTCATCAAAATCCCCAGCCCGGTCCATCTGGTGTTAATGTTGGTGCATCAACATCGAAATCATCTAGTTCAAATATACCAATGCAATTGCCCAGTGAATTTACAAGTAATAAAAAATCAAATTGTACATCGAATTGTATCGATTGTACGGTTGGTTGTGACATCGAATTTCCATTGGATGCCGTTGCTTGTATATTCGATTGTCTAACCGAAGCCTGTATCATTCCTGATGCAATAAATGGCCCCGATATGGGACGTTTATCATTTGATAGTGTAACATCGGCAGCTGAAGACGGTAGCTTAATACCGCCACGTTACCAACACATGACCGTTCCACATAGCAGCGATCCAAATGAAACCTATCTAACGCTTGGCTTTGAATCGGCCGTATTGGCACTCGGTAAACAACGAAATATGCCGCACGGACTTTATTCACAGCATGTTATATGCAAACAACAAGATCAATTGATTCAACGTTTGCGACATGTCGAATTAGATAGATTGTTGATTGAAATTTTAAAGAATTTAACAAGTCAATTGTTGGACGGTGGTCCAACCAGTGGATTAGGTGTATCAATTCATTCCGAATCGATTCCAATGCATACATTGGCACGTTTCCTATTTGCATCGTTGTTAACACATTATGACGATTTAGCATTTTTCGTTGGATTGCGTGCAATGCGTTTACCAATACTCGAAGAGTGTCCAAATGAAATGCAAATGGAGAATAACATCGAAATGGCCGGTCCACATAATAATCAACATGATGGTTTTGGTTTGGCCAGATATCCAAGGTAATTGATTGATTTATTTCTGTTCACATTTTGTCCTTCAAAATTACTAAAAAAAATATTGTTTTTTTTTCTTCTTTTTTGATTTGCAGTCGTTGGTGGATTATGGGCCATCTTGAAACCCAACAATGTCAGCTTAGCAGTACAATGCTTAGTGCGGCCAAAGGTGATCCGTCACGTTTGTCACAGGTGTTGGAAAGTGCGCGTCGAAATATTCATAGTTCATCGCATTTATTCAAATTAGCTCAGGATGCATTCCGATTTGCAACACCGGAAAGTGATCATCGTAATCGTACATTGTTGGGCGTTGCATTTGAATTAGGTTTACAAGTGATGCGAATGACATTGACATGCTTGAATTGGCGACGTCGTGAAATGGTCCGTTGGCTTGTGACCTGTGCAACGCATTTAGGTCTTGACGCATTGATAGCCATCATGCAAAATTGGTATCAACTATTTACACCAACTGAAGCAACCGGACCCGTTGCAACAACAATTATGTCAAATGCTGCTCGACTTAATTTGAATGTTATGGTAAGCAAGCATAATAATATCAGCCACATTTCAACATTATATATTAAATAAATGTATTTTTTCTCCATCTTCAGCATCAAGATGAATTAGCCGCATGTGCTCGCAATTTAGCATTGCAATGTGCATCAAAAGATCCACCAAATTGTGCGCTACATGCGTTAACACTGTGTGAAAATGATGCGCTTGCCTTTGAAACTGCCTATCAAATTGTTATCGATGCTGCATCGCACATAATGACATCGAATCAACTGTTCACAATTGCACGGTCTATGGAGCATCGAGGTTATGTGGAACGCGCTTATAAACTCTCAATGTTGGCCATGAAAAATGTTCATTTGGCATACAATCAAGATACGCATCCAGCTATTAACGATATTCATTGGGCGTGCGCTCTATCACATTCAATGGGCAAAACTGAATTGGCCAACATGATTCCATTGGTCATCAAAAATGTGCAGTGTGCCACAGTATTGTCGGATATTTTACGCAGATGCTGTGCACCATCTATTGGAATTTCACATTACAATACACATCATCGAGGTAATATATCACATCAACCATCATCGTTATTGCGAGACTGTGTGTGCCCCAGAAATTAATGAAATTAATTGCATTTTATTTTTCGTTTTTATAATTTGCATTTTCAGGTAATATGCGAACGTGCCAGAAACTTAGTTATGATCGGGCTCCATTGCGACAATTGCTTGAAGCTGCTGTCACAGCCTACGTCAATACAACACATTCCAGGTATTTTGTTATATTTGATTCACACTGGACAATCCGAAATTCAAAATTAAAATGTGAAAATATTGAATGACTTGAATAAAGTTGAGCATATAGTCATGTAGTCATTATATCTATTATCACAATCTATTATCATTTAACCACATAATGCAATTTAATAATATAAAATAAAATTGAGAACAATTGTTAATTTTCGTTTAAATTTCTGTTACAGATTATCGCACATTTCGCCACGTCACTATAGTGATTTTATTGATTTTTTGAGCAAAGCCCGTGACACATTTATCTTGGCCCGTGATGGTCCTGCACATTTCTCACGTTTGATTGAAAACATAACGGTTGCATACAAGGGAAAGAAGAAGTTGGTTAAACAAGTGCGTCAACGATTTCAATTCGTTTAGAAATTAAATGAGACCGTCGGCCACTTGCAAGACAGCAATTTAATTCACCGTGGGAAGGAATGTTGAAGAATTGAAAAAAAGAAATGCATTTGAAATGCAGCAAAAGAGAGGAAAAAACTGAACATAAAATTGATAATATGCTTATGTCGTTGATTTCGCGGCCAAAATATAAAGAGAAAAGAAATGCAATTTGCAAGCAAATTCTTATTTTGTGTGCGTGTGCAATTAAGTAATGATGAAATTTTTCATTTAAAAAAAAAACTCCAATTAATTCATTGCTTTATTGTTTTGTTTTCCGTCGAATTTCAAATTTATACAATTTGAGACTCTGTTGTTATATACAACAATTTAATTTTTGTCGTACAATTTTGTTCTTTTATCATACCGAATTTGTTTTTTTTAAATATTTAATTTAATAATTTTTTTTTTTAATTTTGAAAGAAGAAAAACTATCGTCTATTCAAATAGATTAAATATATTGACTGAATAGTGTGCGAAATATATATAGAAAAGATGAAACAATGTATAACCAAAACACTATAGCCATATACAATGCCTCAAATTTGATGATAAAAAGAAAACAAGCAACACTCACAAAAACTAGGGTATACACACACACACACCAACACATTCAAAACAAATGAATAAATCTAGGAAATTATTTAAATGCTGAACATCCAACAACCAATAAGATGAGAGTTCCTGCAATTAACATGACTAATTTTTTTGTAAGAGAATCAATGCATGCAAGTTACATGGATAATGAATAAAAATGAATAAAGAAACCTATAGAATACATATTACTCAAATAAACACTTGCCTCATCTACTTAGAATTGATTTATATACAATATAATTTTTTTGTTATTTATCGTTTATCAACAGTATGACATAAATCGTTCAGAAGCGATGATGTGTCGTCGAACGCATTGAATTTTATTTAGTTCATTTTCTTTAATATTTGATATGAACGTTTTTTTTAGTTTCAATGATTTTGTTAATTACGAAAGGTTCAATTGTTTCGAAAATTGTGAGTTAAATTTCCTATTTTTAGAAAAACAAAGCATAAGATAATCGAAGCAAATGATTGATTCATTATTATTGCAAAATTATGCAATTTTCTTTCAAAATTAATGCCGAGAAATAAACTGTAAATATGATTAGGAAAATAATTGGTTAGAATTCAAGGAGAGACAAAAATGCAAAGGCATTCAAAACATACTGTTTTTTTAAAACTTGAATTGGAATTGGAATTCTTTGTTTTCGTGAACTTATTCTACTAAATCAATGTAATTTATAGCTAACATTCTAGCATTCTAAGAAATCTTTTAGTTTTCATTTTTAAATGCAATTTTGTTCACTTTGCTATTTGCAATTGACTGATCTCGTTTGAGGGAATTTTTTTCACATTGATTTTTCCAATTTTTCTGAATTGGTTTTTATTTTTTGTTTTCATTTGAATTTTAAGTTCAAAATAAAATAAACAAAAAAAAGAATAGGAATAAAAAGAGAAATGTTTGAATAAAGAGCAGCAAGATAGATTTAGCAAGAAGCGTGAATAAATGACATTGAAGCAAAAAACTCATATACAATAAATTAACTGCCAAATAACCATAATGCTTAAAAAAATAAAATAAAACACTGATCACAACACACACACTCACACACACATAATGCTAAAGTTAAGAAGTTACAAAACGAAAGTTACTACAAAATCAATTTCCATAGACATGGATGCAAAATGTGGGATGTTTTGCTGGCAAATGAGGGCAATTTCAAATGATTTCATTTCTTTAAAAACAACAACAACAAAGAAAACCACATTCACCATAAATTTATTAATGCAAATGCACCAAAATGCCAGTGAATTATCTTACCGTGTCAGCCAGTGCCTGAAAATTCACTAAATATAAAACCAAAAACCCTTAAATAGACCAATACTTTTAATTTGTCATTTTAAATAACAACAACAGAATAAACAATAGAAAATATCCAGCCGCATTGGTTTTCAGGAATTCGCCTTGATTTTGTTGAGACAAAATACAGATGAGAACCTTCCGTTTGTAACGAAATCAATGTGAATTGTAATGAAGATTATTTGGATCAATTTTTCTTTTCAATGGAAATCATTTAAATCATGCCATTTATTTGTTATAATTTATTTTTTTAGCTTCAGGCACTGCCGTCAGCTTAAGAGTATAAATATTTGAAAAACAAAACGAAATAAATGAACAAACAAGTTAATACAAATATATATTACATTGTGCCAGTATTTTCTATAAAAAAAAGAATGATAGAGTAGTACTTTGAATGGTTGGAATGTAGCATATTTAAGATGAGAAAAGCGAAATCATTTATGTTTCTTAACTTATCTAACCGAAGGATGACTTTCTTTTTAAATTTTACAAAATTGCATTTTCATACCTAGATAGACAGACACACACGCAGAGAGAGAGAGGGAGTATAAAATTGATCTTAATTGCTTCATCGCGCATCTCAAGTTTTTTTTTTGTTTTCGGTCTTTTTATTTCTATTTTTCTCAAAACCATTTTACTGTCGCAATAACCATTTAAGAAAATTGAACGAAATGATTTCATATTTCGAAAGATCAAGTGGAAAAATTACAATGCTTAGACTGCACTAAACTAGATTTTAAGTGGACAAATTATTGTTAAGTTAATAACAAACAAAGTAATGAAAAACAAATCAACAACGGCAAGGCAAACAATATTCTAAGTTGGAACATTAAAAAAAACACACAAAAAAAAGAACACAAAAAATCACTTCTTTGAGAATATGAAATTGGTGAGCTGCCATTGTCATCGGCATTGCTGTTGCCATCGCCAAACAAAAATCAATGATTTTATTATATCGAGACATGAAAATAGTATGATTAAATTCTAAGATACTACGTCATCTCAGGATGTAAATATACCTAATGAAAGAATGAAGAAAAATAAATTGAAAATTAAAGCGACAGCAACAAGATTGCAAGGAAAATTAATAATTCTAATAAATAAAATTGCTACCGGTAAATTATTGATTTAAATTTTAATGAATAAACATAAGTGACAAAGATAAATAATTACTGAATAATAAAATGAACACATCATTTAAAGAAAAACAACAAACCTTTTCGTTTCATTTTATTTTTATCATGATTTTTACAGACTTTTTTTTCTTTGGACATTAAAAAAGCGCGTTCAATTTTTAAATAGAATATAACAAAATCCAAAATAAGTGTTGGACATTTTTTACCAAAAAAATTTGATTTCAAGCAAAGATCTCAATTATATAAAAGTAGTTTGTTGCGAAAAAGAGCCCCAAGTGAAAAAAAAGAACTTGACAAAATAAAAATGCGGAAGTTGCTTCTAGTTTTCCTAGCTATTTGTATTGTCAATTCGGAACTATTATCTGTTCCACAAGAGTCGCTCGTCAATGCTTTGGATTCCTCAAAAGAAGTTAAACGTGACAACGCTAAATCGACCCTTTTAAAAGATGTTGCCATCTCTTTGGAAACGTAGCTACTATGGGTGCAGTTGTAAAGATGTTCAGCGACACTTTTCACGTGCCGTTAAAATTCTGACGCCCTTTCTAACGCAGTTTAAAATACCCTCGTTGATGTTACCACAGTTGCCAAAGCTTTAACAGATAAAAACGCAAAGAAACTATTTGGAATGAAAAAATTCGTACTTGCACGCATTGACAGATGGACCAAAAATATAAACATCTTAGATATGGATTTTATCGTCGTGCTAATTGATCAGAGTAAACATTGTTATTTGGCAATTATATGCTTTGCCATTGAAGCAAATGCAAAATCGATATTCAAACAGGGTAAACGTCGAATTGAAAGCGATACGGATGAATCATCAACAAAAATCGTCAAGAAGTATGTATTTACAAAAGTTTTTTGTTCATATTTCGGTTATGATAAAGAAAATTAAATCGTCTTTTGCTTACGCTTTCTAAAAGAACGACTTTTATGCAACAACAATGAAAGTCATGAGTAAATCAGTATTTTGTACTCGTTCTTGAGAGCAAATGGTGAGGTGCAGATCTTGCTGAATTCTTGAATAATTTCTGTTGAATTTTATTTTATGCTTTTGGATCAAAAAGGAAAATAATTATTTTATTGAATTGTATAAAGATCTCTTTGAGATTTTATTGATACTGTCCAAAACAAACTTGCCTCTACATTTTCTTTTCTATTGAAAATTATTAATATTTTATTTGCTAAATAAACGTTATATTCACTACGATCATTAACAACGGCAAAGTTTGAATAAACATTTCAATGATCATGTTTTGTGCTATCTGTTTGCCATAGATATTCTTCGTAATAACACACTTTTTAGCCACTCAATGGAATTTAATCTGTGTAAGGTGATTATCAAATAAAAAAACTTCTATCGATGTGAGTGACAAAATCGAAATTCAAAACGAAAAACATCAATTTTGTAATGAAAATTGTGAGTAGATAATTTTTGTAAGACGCAACGTTACGAAACCTATTAAATACCTTCAATAATGGGTCATTTATTTTCTATTGTAGTAGAAAATAAGTTAGTAGTTGGAAAACAAAGACAAGTTTTTTTATGTCACAGTTTGACAAAAATGGTTTTTATCGCATCACAATTTATCAATCTATCATAAATACGTTTTATTTCGATTAAATCGGAATTTAGTCATCAGTAGTCATTTTATAGTTGTGTGTCGATTGCAAGTTTGATCAAAAAATTGAGAATTATTTTAAAAATTATAGAAAACTGAAAAAAGAATTCTGATAAAATGAGAATTTTGTTAACTTTTGTGGTATTCATTTGTTTTTCACAAAGTGCTTTGGGTATTAGTATTTAATTATCGGTAAATGATGCATTGTTGTTTGATTTAGGTTTTATTTCAGCCTTTCAACAATCACTGGATAAACTAAAACGAAGAAAACCGGATAAAAATGTATCAGGACGAATTGTTGGTGGTACAGCTACAAAAATTGAGCGAGTTCCATGGCAATTGAGCCTTCGAATCTATGGAAAACATCGATGTGGTGTGCGTTTATAAAATTTCAACAAGTTGATGATTTTCAAGAATTGATTTTTGTTCACATTTTGTTAAAACTATTCAATTGTAACATTGTTTTTTGTTCAAAGGCGTCAATTATATCGGAAAATCGTGCACTAAGTGCAGCCCATTGTTATCGACCACAATATGAAAATATAAAAGATCTGTCTGTATTGGCTGGATCAACGTTGCGCTTTGGCGATGTTGGTAGTTTAATTATTGGATTAGATAAGTACATTCAACATCCAAATTTTAATAACTCAACACTACAGAATGGTATGTCCGAACCGAAAATTGTGGCGAAATATTTTACATTATACAAACATTGAAATAGAATGAAATTTATCGTTTACACGTAGATATTGCTGTCATTTGGCTTCAAAGAAAATTAACATTTAGTCCGAAAATTCGTCCAGTAAATGTAAGTAAAAGTCTGGTTTTCAAAAATGTAACTATCTACACGCGTTGATTTAAAAACATGAATTGTACTTTATACGTATAATGTGATTCGCAGTTGCCAAGGCAAAACCAGTCGTTGCTTTTTGGATCTACGGTCTTGATATCAGGATGGGGCTATCTTGAAGCAGGCAACGCATTAAGTGTGGCTGATTTACTACAGTACACATCAATCACCGTATTGGACAATAAAATTTGTCAAATGGCATATCAAGAGTGGTTTAGAGAAGGTATGTTTTGTAGCGGTGTTAAGGACATGTCAAGAGATGCTTGTCAAGGAGACAGTGGTGGGCCGCTCACAACAAATGGCATTCAAATTGGCATCATTTCATGGGGTGTCAGGTTATTATTTAATATTATCAATTTTTATTCATTTTATTAAATTATTTATTATTAAATAATAATAATTTCAGTTGCGCAGATAAAAGATATCCAGGAGTTTATACGAATGTTGCATTATTTCGAAAATGGATTGATAGCGTATTATAAACGTTTTCTTGTGTCTACTAGAGACTGTCTAGAACTTAAGTTATTGAATAAAACCAATTCAGTGATATTTTTTAAGTTTTTGCCTTCATTTTTATTATATTTCATCATGCCATTGGAATTCAATCTAAACAAAAGCAAATTGGATTAGTTTCAATCATGAGAATTCGAAAAACAGGTGTGTCAAAAATTCTCCGGCCTGGCATATAAAGAGAAGTACGAACTTTACAGGGTGATTGGGAGTTGCGAGAAATAGGATAGGCACATTACTGGTCCTACTTCTTTTTGATCAGAGGGTATTATGATTCTTTATTATTAGATTTAGCGTTATTCCAATGGAATAAGCCCAGAACACATAATATTCGTAAACCACTAAATGGCATTATTCTTCTTTTCTCTACAGGGTCCCGAAAGCGGGGTCCTCAACCCAAGCATTTAGTATTTCGAAGAAATTGTGAGTCTATACAAAAAAAAATTACACCAGAAATGCTGTAGTCCAAGATCTGAAAAATTTGAGTACATATCAAAAGAAAACATTTCTGAAAGATTATTCCATTTCAAAAAAATTAAAATTTCTCGTGTATCTGAAAATGTCTGTTGTATAAGTAACGAATTGTGTTCAAATATGAATTCAGGAACGGTAAGTAGGCAAAACACATGTGTACTAAGCAGGCTTACAAACGCCATATACTTTAAGATTGTATTTGTATAGAAATCTTGGGGTTTCTGATTTAACGCAGTTGCAGAAGTTGTTGAAGATTGCTTTTACAGAATTATATGATGGGGTAATTTTTTAGTATTTTTATTCAAAAAAAACTTTGAAATTCGAGTATTTGAGAATAGAATTTAAATATTTTCAAATAATCATATCAATTAATTTATTCTTTTATTTAATTTTCATACAACGTATTTTTTCTTTCTGTTAAAATAAAAAACAATGTTTTTGCTTTAGTTTACTACATTCGCTCCCATGTTTGGTAATATCATCGGTGGATATGGACCCCTTGAACCTTTCAACCAGCAAACAACTGTGTGAATATCGATGCAAATTCTCTCGATCATTTCCTTGGCAGTTTTCGAAAGATTTCTGTAAAAGTGTGCTGTTATTTGATATGAAATACTTAAACGGCCAAAACATGTTTCTCTTACGTATTATTGAAAAGTTCCCTTAATTCGTCTGCATTTTTTTCCATTTCACGTACATCACTAAAATAGATTATTTTCGATAGTTATGATTACTGTAATATGATCGTTAATTGCTTTCTACGACATACAAGTTAAGCCAATTTTCAGCATATTCATCTCCATTGTACAACGTTGTGAAATGTTCAACCGTTCCATTTACACTTTCAATGACATCATTTAGAAATGAGAAGTTATCGCTGTAAAAGAGTTTTATTTTAGCAATTTAAATAGATTTCAATAGCGCACAATGCAGGAAAAACAGAATTACTCTTTTTTCGGTATAGTTGATTTTAATTGCTTGATCATATTTCCATAATTTATGACATGCACACCACAGCATCTTCAAGAGTGAAAATAAGTTTATTTATTTATATAAATGAAGACAAATCAGATATTAATATTAAATCATACGTACTTTTTCATCCATGTAGTGCCTTTATATTTTGTAGCAGCTTCTCGCACATTTTCCGGGTTAATATTCGCATCAACCATACGAATCAATCCACTCAATGGAGACATTGACACTACTGAAGATAACGATGATGGCATTGGGACGACAATCGATTTTTTTCCTAATTCAAAATAATCATGAACATCTATTTGGAGATAACTGAAAACATTTATTCTTACTCGAAGAGCCGCTTTTCATTGCTGAGGCCACCTGTTCAATGGAATATATTTGTGTGGAATTGTTCAAATCAATATATATATATATATAATTGCTTAGCATGAATTTGTTGAAAAATTGCGAATGCATAAAATATGATGATTGTTCATAGAAAATCTGTCATTTTTCACACGTTCAAAATTCAAATGAATCTATTTTTTGGTGTGTTACAATGTAAGAGTCCAGAATATATTGAATAATGCTCTAAAAATGATGATCAATTTGTATGAAATTGAATGATAAATATATGGTTGATCCTAAACTTTCTGGCGGCAGTGTATATTTATTAAATTTATTATTTAATAATCTTTAATCATGCAAGTTAATTTTTTGGCTTTTCCTTCGCGACATTAACATAAAATACATTCTAACTTTGTAAAATTTCAGACAACTTTAATTTTTGCAATGATAAATCGATTTTTTTTCTTACCAAAGCCAAAGCAACAACGCACAAGACAATGATAAATTTCATAGTTTTCAGATCTGTTACTTTGTCTTACAACTATTATTTGTTTACAATAAATGTTTGTTCATTGAGCTACAATTTATACCCTTTTTCGATTTAATTTATTTTGTGAATTTTTTGAAAACGTCGAGTAGTAGTTTTGCCAGATATTTATTCAGTAATTTTTGAAATGTGTTTTCAAACCACATTTTTCAATAATATTTTTTGTATAATACAATACTTTTATAATTCGATACTCGTGTTACGAGTTATGTTTACCTAGAAGTTACAATAAACACATTTACTTACAGCGAAAAAGAATTCAATTATCATATTCAAAGAATACGGCTGTTTGGTTGAAATAATTATTCGAACACGTAAATTAAATGCATCTTGTATGGGAGTATGTGATGACCAAAAAAAAAAAATATTCCGTTAAAAGCATTATTTAATATCTTTTCATAATGATAAAAGCACTGGCTTCACACGCAAAGCAAATAATTTTCCATATTTCGCTTGCGATTAAAAAAATATATAATTTTCTCTTTTGGTGATTTTCGTGCTATTTTTTCAAAGCCTAATAAATATAATTCACATGCAATGCAGTATAAGTCTACAAGAGATAACATTAGCTCGAAATCATAGATGGCGCTCAATCATTATTTTTGGGTTCATAGCTTTTTGACAATTGATGTCAATTCCATAGTTCAACTATTTGGTGGTATTTATTCGAATAGTTGAACTAATTACTAATTGAAATAATTAAATTCATTTAAATTGTTTGGAAAACAAATTCATTATAATACCGAAATTCAACATGAAGTAATTTAAGCCGTTGTTTTTATCGATGAATGAATAAAAATGAATCGAATAAAAAAGGATACAAAGGCCGATCGGTGGGCCGCGGGCAAATCCGGAATGTTTTCATTAAAAGATGGAAGTGAAACATCTCAAGATTTAGCAAAAAGACAATTTTATTGCAACAATCGGTAATTGTAAGGGTGAAATCTTATCATTCCGACGTGGAAACCTCATTTGATTTATTGGTCTAGTCTATTGGTAGTTTGCATAGCGTAGTTGGTACGCGTAGTCTTCGGTGTCACCTCATTAATCGGATCTACAGTATTATCTAGTATGTTATTTGTTCCCAAGAGGCTAGAAAAAGAGTTCATCGGTCGTCATTTCTCAACGGATAAGGCCCTCATCGATGCATTAAACACATATTTTAAAAGCCATGAAGTTTTTTTTTTTCGAATAATAAAAGAACATCGACAATGCATCAAATCCAAGATTATTTATATATTCATTCTGATGATACACTCAGGAACTTTGCCTTTACAATTAACATTTAAAGACTATCAATGCCTTTCGGCATTTGATCCGTTTTGGATTATTTTTATAAATTAGAAAAAGAAAACAAATTCTATTTCTCGTATTTGCCATTTATTTTCCAATTAAACAATTAGTAAAAGTAAGAATATGCTGCGTGATTTAGATTTTACAACACTAAAAACAATGAAAACATAACTAAATGTCTAAAACTGATCTGTATTTTCAATCGAATATTTATACGAAAAATGAGCATCAACATCTTAGCACCGACTTTATCCACTAAAAATAAAGTTTATCAAGAAGAAAACAATGTCAGTATTTTATTGAATGGTTTGAATGAAATAGACTTACATCTGCCATTTCAATTTTAATCAAATTATCTTGGTCGTGATCTTTGCGCTGGAACACTTCTGCAAATGTTAAAATGAATTGAAATTTGGAATCGTTCCAACAAGAATTTAGAATCAGATAAATCAAAGCAAATCAATATCGATTATTCTTACCGAATGCCGTTGTTAAGTGAAGAATGGCAGACGCAAAATCACCCAAACGCAATGTACCATCTTTTCGCATGTATTTCAGCATAATAATTGACATAATATCTGAGCTCAACTGAAATCCAACATCATAAAGTGCATCTCGTAAGCGTTCGGCACGCAAAATGCCAGCCTTTTCCTTTGAGTACATTTTGAACACACCCTGCCATGCCTTCAAATTTGCTATAAACGTTTTGAATTGTAAAAAATTAATGCGACCATGTCCCGATTTCTGTGAATGGAGAAGATAAGATTTTGAGTAACACGGGCATTCTTGATTGAGTTTGAATGCGTTTTTTTAAAGCGATACTTACGTCTAATAATGAAACGACTTGACGACAAATATCGATACTAGCACAGCTTTTAATATAATCATTGGGTAGACATGCGTCCAGCAATTCTTGTAATTCAAAACTATTGATGGTTCTGCAATAGACCATTGAAATTAATTACATGGTGTGTATATTCGGCTATTTTAATGAATTGACAAAAATATTTTACCTATTTTCATCGGCCAATTGCATGAAAATCGGTTCGTATTGGCATTTCTTTTTCGTTGTATCGGTGTCGTTACGCTGTTGTGTCACGCTTAACGGTGGGAATGGGTCTAAGATCATCATCGTTTGTGTTTCTAATTGTGCTAGTTTTATGTGATTGCCCAGCAAACGAACGGTGAAACCTTCAGAAAACGGAAAAAAATCGAATGAATAATACCCAAAAAAGATCTCCTGGAAAGAAAAAAAAAGAAAATATTGTGTGTATCTTACCCGATTCCTCGCCTGGTTCATATGTTGTAGCCATTAATAAATATCGTCCCGATTCTAAATTACACCGATAACTAACATGTCGTGAATTGCCATAGTCCGAATTGATAAAGCTAACTTGATTTTTGAAAAACTCTTTGGAAAGATTTTCAGTTAATTTATTTTTAACTGTGTGAAAAGAACAAAAACAAACACATTTTTTTTAAAGGAAAAGTTCACAATTGCGTGCATGCATGTCGATAAGAATTAAAAGTGCAACTCACTTGAATTTAATTTGTACATTGTGAAACCAATGACTTTTGGTTCGACAGCGGTGTGCTGATTCAATGCAATGATCACATCTTCCTTTTCCGCAACGAATAATTGAAGTTGTGGATTTATGTGAAATGAGTCATGGTTACGACAACCGCCCGCTGTGACACCTTTACGCCAAAATCCTTGAAACATTTTCATGGACCAACGTCTTGGACGATCGGTTAATGATAATTCATCTTTCGCTGTATCGGTATCAAGATGGATACATTCAAGATTTGTAAATGTTTCGGTGAGCGCTAAAAATGACATCCAAAATTCATTTGCATCCAATTGACCAAGTAAACGATCACGTTCAGTTTCTGAAACTCGATCCCACAATGGTGATGTGGCCGACCATTCGCCGGTGTAGCCCGTTTTTAAGCCCAACGCATCCGATGTCATCGGGTCTCTTAAACGTACCAATTGCACTGAATCGCCCATCGTATTTTCCACTTTGTCCAATGAACACAATCGATAACTAACGCCGATTGCAATTCCATTTGGTAATTTTTCCGGTTGTGATTTAAATTGTGAGCTATTTCCTCTGATTGCGATGCATGTTATGATACAGGTGGTATCGAGTATTGAACGTAAAATTGTTGGTCGTATTGAATCTGAACCGGATTTTACTGGTATTGTTTCAACAATTCCACCCGTCAAATCGCTCAAACCATCGGAACGTGTTCCGTATTTAAGTGCTTCGTATGAACCATGCAATCTGATTGAAATAGAAAAAAAAGGAACAAAAAACCATTTGAAGAAACACGACAAAAATGAATGAATGATAGAAAAAAAACTCACTTTGCTATTGCTTTTTCGAGTAATGCGGCCCAAAAGCAGTTTGATTTGAACGGTTGTAAAAATGACAATTTTCCATTGATCGTTGGTAATCTGTCGTCGACTAGAACCTCCACCCACTCACCGCACCACCATAAACGAAACCGAAACACGCCATGACAATTTTCGAAATTTTGGTCGGCCGGCACAACACGATAAAATAGATTTTTCAACGAAAACAACACGCCCAAACAAGACACAAGCCATCGGTCACCTATCAACGAAACAAGATAACGAATTCAAAATAATGAAAAACCTTACGCCAACGGGGCACATTAATTTATTTGCAGTCAAATTTAATTCGATGGAAAATAAATTTAATTTTGATTCGTTCTTACCCATTTTGCCCGGAATGATGTCAAATTGTTCACCATCATTGATAAACAACGGTGATTGCACAATTTCCGTGATCCGTTTCCATTGAAATGTAAACGGAGGCGTTTGATAGTAGAACACCGACGATTGTACGGCTTGAAAATCGGGATCTTCCCATAGTACATTTTTTCGTTTGCATTCGGATTTAATTCGGTCGTATTTGGACGTCATGATTGTATGTTTGTGCTTGTTGGTTTTTTTTTACGTAATTGGGAATTTAATGTGTCATCGAAAATGTTACATAGTCCAAACACATGAACAAGGCCACTTTACAACGATCGTAAATCTTTTGTTCACTCTATCTCACTTTGCCCGCCAACAGAATCCACAACATGAATCGTGAATTATTTTTCTGTCATTTAGAGCAAAATCTGTGGGTAAACAAAACAGAAAATTAAATTAATTTAAAAAAAAGCGTCTCAAAAGAAAAAGAAGAAGAAGAAGGTCATAAAAGTGTTCCATTGCACGTATATTAGTCGCGCTCATTAAACACATTTAATGGACGATGCAATGGGATTTTATACGCAAAAATAAACCTCATTGAATTATTAGTCGACGATTTTTTTTATTTCAAACGATAGTGCGCACAACATGAATGAGCACTATTTTAAAATGAATCTTTGTTACGAACACTATCAAAGGATAGTAAAGTTTATCATCGCCAGATGTACACTTAAATCTCTCGTCATATTTTCATTTTATCAAAGTCATAAAGAACAAATCAAGTAATAAATCGAACACTGTCTCCAGTCATCCAATAAAAAAACACACACACATGTTTATTATTCGATACAGAGTCGTCATCAACGGAAGTGATTATTTTGATGCGAATTGGGTTGTTAGCGACAATAGTCTGTATTTTTTCTAACCCCACAACTGTTTGGTCGAATAATTATTATTGTGTGATCAATAATTAAAAATATCAGAGATGTTTGAATCGCGGTCGATTCGCGCATTATTGTATGCATTGACATATTTCTCTCTGTCTCTATCTTCATCTCTCCATCTAAAACTTGTAAATTCGATTATGAAATTGTTTGTGATGAGCCAGAGACACTTCATGGACAACGGTTCTCTCATTCTGCTAAATTCTCAATATTTTCTCTTTCTCTCAATTTTTCTTGCGTTTTAGATTCCGATTGAAAATAAACCGTGGAAGATCATTTGAGCATTTAACCTTAATGCACGCTTGAGCGCACTTCGACTTAGAAAAATGCTGTAACTATGTGTGCTCTGTGCTGAACAATAAAACATCATAAACGACTGAAAATGATGTAGCTCATCGACACCAACAACAACAGTGCGCCAACACTCACAAACATACCCATATTCATAATCATGAGCGCATGTTTATGTTACGTGCCAGTTCAACGCATGATGATGCGCACAATGAACGAGTCAATTTTATGCTCATGAGAGCAATGCCATCATCATATCAAATTATGCGATGTATTGAATACCGGCTGCCTCATACACCGGTTGACAAGAAATCTTTGCAACAAAAAAAAAATGTCCACATGTGTTTATTCGCCATTGAATTTTAATTGGCACAATGGTCAACTGGCCGCAAATGGCGGATTTATTTTTAGATATTGGCGCCTCAATAACCTATTAAAATCGTACACACTCAAACCGGTGATGCAATTTTTACCAATTTCTTTATTTCAAGCCTTTCTCAATGGTTCAATGTATGCAAGAACTCGAGCGAGATTTGTAATAAATTGAATTTCACACAAAAATCGCAAAGAAACAATTCAATTACGATGAAAATGTGCTGTTGTTGCCTGAATTTTTAACTGCAAATCTTTCGGCCATGTAATTTAAGCAACTATTGTTTAATGGAAAGTATTATTTAATCACATTTTCACAGTGTGTATAACGGTAGAAGATTCAACGGCGCAGAAGAAAACAAAAAAAGAAAACAATTACTAAATCAATTCGAAGCGTCTCTTAATCAAATGATATACAACATCTATATGGTATTATGGAGATCGAGCGTGATAGAGAAACAGTTTTTGTTTGATGAATTCTTTCGTCCAAATTTTCTTCTGGATGATTTTGTTTCATTTGCGTGCAAATTATTTTTTTTTTTCTCTTTTTCGGTAAAAAATATTTCGCATTTCAATAATTACAAAACCACCGAAATGTATGCGTTGATACGAAACAACAACAAATAGCAAGTTGACGAAAATAAAAACGGTAATCCAAATTGCATATAATATAAATTAAATTACTTTATCGACGAAACTATTTGCGATATATATTTTGGTTATGGAATTGCATTACAAAGAAATCGAAGCTTTTGGCACATTTCTCAATGCACAATTTCGTAACTTTTCTTTTATAACATCGAATAAAAATAAACAGCACCAGCAATAATATCACGCACATAATACGCGATGATGATAATTGTTACTTTTTTTCGTTGTTGTTACGACTGAAAATGCAGTGCAATATTGTCGTAACTGTGTGTTGGGCGTTGCAATATGCACATCGGTACAGAGCATACAACAAATGAATATGAATGATGAAGAAAAAGAAGAAGAAACAAAAACATCATCAAGAAGAGAAAATTACATGGGCTGTCGCCAAAAACACCAACACCATACCTTTGAATTATTGATTACGATGATGTTTTTTTTTGTTCGCAGTCTCTTCTTCTGAAATCAGCTTTGTTGTGGCTTCATTTGGTTTGTGCGCTCAAATTCCAATCTTAATCATCTCTTAATTCATATTCATATTCCAAAACACTTAATACACAACACACTCACAATCAAATACAATCGAACAGTGTCGAGTGAAGAAAGAAAACAATGTTTAATGGATTTCTTTCCAAGTAACATTCATTCGTGTGGAAAATTAATCGAAATCGAGTTCACATATTTTTTTTTTCTGGTTTTGCAAACTGGGAATATTGATTTTCGCGTAATAATGTGGCGCGATAACTCTTCAACGACCAGTTTTTAGTTTTTTTTTGTTGTTGGGATCTTCCTTCGCGTCGTCATCATCATTATCAGTTGTGCATTAACACGTTATAACGATGTTGGATACCGACATTAATTCGACGATTTAATTCGATTTTTACTAAATGGATGTGATTGGTTTTCATTCAAACGAATTTGAAGAAAAGTGATCGAGAGTTGATCTTTGTTCCTCCTCTCTTTGGTTCGATTGTCAATTTTTTCACGTAAATGGGCAATTTTGAGTTTGAAATGGTCAAGAAACGTAAAAAAAATTATTGACAATGGCCGCTTTTTTTATATTTTCGATATTATCTCATTAAAAACTATCGACCTGATTGATTCCAATTGATTTCTCTTTTGTTGTATGTGGCAAGCACGAACGATCGACTGGAGAGAAGAAAAAATAACTAGAATAATATGCGTCGAAAAGAGAAAATTTTCGTTTTCAACAGCAATCGGTATTTTTTTTGATTGACTGTGATTTGAATGTTCCACCGTTTGGAATTTAATAGTGAGAAGCAGGTCGATTGCAACTATAAACACCTTATGATGGTATTGCTTCCCTATTGGTAATAATCAATGAAAAACGCAACGTTTGTTTCGCATATTGTGCATACCTTACTCTTTCTATCTTTCGATTTCCAGTCGATGATTATAATGTGATGGAAAGTGTCGAAAATTGGCAATTTATTAAAATTACTCTGACTTTCTTGCCTGATTTGTCGGCCGCTTGAAAAATTAATAACCGTACCGCTCATCATTTAAAAAAAAATTAAGCGCTGCTATTTGATTTGAAATCATCGCTTTTTTTCCACCGACTGTGTGTGTGTGATCAAATTGAAAGCAGTTGAAAAATTGCTGCGGGTAGCAGTTTTCAGTTTATTTGAGTTGTTGATATACGCTTGTGCACAATAAAAATTCATACAAAGTGATTGGCATAAGAGTAAAAGGAGCGAATAATATTTCATAAAATCAATATAGGCCACATTCGAAAAGAAAGTTCTTGGACGCGCGATCAACAATTTGTAGATTGTTGGACGGAATGAAGAATGCAATGCTCATTATATGCAGACACACGACATGATATCATTGCCACAGTTGAAATATCATCAGACAATCGAATGAAACAAAAACAAAAAAAAATACGAACAAAAACCCAAACGAAAAATAAATTATGAGTAATTGTATGAGAATGAATTATTGGTCCGTGTGTTCGATGCGATTCATTCAGTCTTTTTTTTTGTAAGAAAAGGTCCAGTACTTTGTTGCAGTTTCTCCAGAGACGAAAATGCGTTGAGGAAAGATAATGATTCAACAACATGGATTTCACCAGAATGACCAGCGTGGATCCGGATTACAATTGCAGGTGCCTAACATGTGCATCGTTCTCTCTTTGCTGCTTGCTCGCTTTCTCGTTTGTTGTCGTGAGATGATTATCGCACGAGAACGGGAAGAAGAGAATCGGCAAATTAACCTTGCGAACAAATCGAAGAGTTCGACGATTAAACCGGTAAAAATGTGTGTGATTGTCGATGATGGCGGCGGTGGTGGCGGTAGCGGTGACGGCGTTAGTGGCAGCAATACAGAAATCAATAACCAAGAACTTTAATCTCATTGATTTTATGTGTTAAATGTCTAGCAGTTTAACTGTTTATTCGAAATATTGTTACATCCTATGAATACCAAATGCATGGTAAAATAGCACATCTAATACACTCACGACCCATACAAAATGAAAACGTGACACCACAATCTTCGCAAAATTCTACACAAAAAGGTTAAACAATTCCACAATGCGCACTACAGTTGCTAGAGTATATCAATCATACAAAGTTGTAATTGACACATATATATATATTTTTGCGTCGCGTGAACTTTCTTTTCTCTCTTTTCATATCGATTAAATACGCACTTTATTTCGAGAACATTGTTTTTCTTTTGTTCACGCTATAAAAAGCAGTCATTTGATTGTTCAGTGCAATTGAAATCGAAAATAAGCCATTATACACTGGTGAATGAAACTGATTTGATATTTAACTGCTATTGTTTGTTTACATTATGTTTTTTTGTGTGTATGCGGCTATAGCCAGTTCAACTGATTAGCATAAACGATGAAACGGAAATGTAAGTGTGTGTACGTGTGTAAGTGAGATACTCAGTGTTACGGTTCGATCAGTTTACATTCCATAAATACCACACCGAACTGAATCATGCGCGCATAACGAACAAATGATAGAAATAAATGAAAAAAAAAACGAAAACAAAAATGACAAATAAAATCTTTCTCACACAAACGATAATCACAGCCATTAGGCAATCGCATTTTAAACCGATCAACGAATAATGAATCGCGTTATCAAATACGCACACATGCGTAACATATTTTCAAATTCGCATTACATAAAATC